TTCCACTAACTGTTGACATACTTCTAAATTCAACAGCGTTTATGACTTAACAAGAAACAAACTTGACAGGTTTTTGGATATTGAGCGTGAGCACACGCCTTCTGTTTTCAAACTAGCAGGCGTGGATGAACCTGGGTGTCATACAGTAGGACCCACTTAATAACATTCAACTTTCAGTGAGAGGAGCAGAGGGAAATCGGAATATTTCTAAGAAAAACTGAGACCCACATGGGTCCCACCTGAATATGTGCCACCCAAATGATCCATGTGTAACTATAAGTAGTGAGGGGAGGAAAGGGGGTCCACAAAGTTCCCCTGTCAACTTTTATTACTGCGTCTTTTATTGGGGAAATAAAACTTTGCCTGGGCTCATCTTATGATTGGACACAATTTCCTAGGTTCGCATCATAAACATCCTCACTTAACACCTTTACCCCCCGCAGAGCCACCATAAAAATGATTCCAACTTTCTTTGTTGAATTTTTTTTCTTTTTTTTTTTAATATGAAAGCCTGCTTCCTGTACCCTCTGACCCGTTTAATCTCAACGTAATTGTCGCAGGAAAGCGGGAGCTGCTCACTGTCATTTTCTGAAAGGTGACGCATCGAGCTGGGATTTAATGGAGGAAAATATAAATGTGCAATTAAGGCAGACCTGCTTTTTTTTTTTTTTTTTTTTTTGGCCTTTATAAGGATTGGCTTATTGCTTTTAAATATTTTCCACAGGAGAAGGTGCTTCTGTTCATCTTAAAGAGCAGGATGTGGAGGTCAGGAGGATAAAGCGGGGACTTTTTTTTTCCAAGTCGATGAAGAGAAAAGAGAAATCTGAAGGTTTCCCCCTTTTCTCTTTCTTTTCCTTTTTCTTTTATTTCACTAACAACTTTCTGTGACGTCTGGAATAAATATTCCGATTCCTCCACTTTATTTTTGTTGGTCGAAACAACTCTTTGTTTTTCACTTCGTCGACGTTTCTTCGACGAAATTGGTGCGCGAGATAAGTTTTTTGCTGTTGTTGTTTTTATGTGGGAAATGAAGAGAAAAGTTTGTGTGTGTGTGTGTGTGTGTGTGTGTGTGTGTGTGTGTGTGTGTGTGTGTGTGTGTGTGTGTGTGTGTGAAGGGCAGGGGGGTGAGGGCGGCTTTGACCTTTAAGCGGATCACCGCCAAGCAGACACACGTCAATATAAACACCATGAGAAGGTTTTCTCTCTCTCTCTCTCATTAAAAACTAGGAAAACATCATATTTTTATTTTTAAGGTTGTTGACTTTCAGCTTGAAAAACAATAAGAAACACACACTCACACACGACATCAGAGAGCGCAAAAGACGCAGAGAGGGTGCGGAGTGGCGGCGGTGGAGGACAGAACACGCAGGTGCCGCACTTCTCTCACATTCTCGTTTGCTCTGGTGTAAGTATCACACACAGAGATTACTCTCCGCTAAGTTCCTTTTGTCTTGTGATCCATATTTGAGTTGACAGATCACGAACAAGCCCCCCCCCCTCACCCCCCTCACCCCCGGTGTTAATCACCCCGGCCAGCAACAGATAGGCTCACACTTTGCGGCGCTCTCTGCCGCCGCTGCCGTTGCCGCTGCTGCTGTGGCAACTCTGGCCTACATACAGAACTGCATGTTAGGCAGTCACGCAAACTCACAATGGGCAAACTCGTCATTGGACCTCGATCTGAACTTTCTGCTCTTGAGAAGGGGTGGGAATCTGTTTTCTCTGTGTGTTTTGCGGGAAAAAACAAAACCCAAAACACACCTTCCGCACTGTGCGCCTAACGTTGCGCAAATACAGCCATTTCGCCGCTTGCTCGTGCATTCATGGGCGCCTGCATCTGCGGCTCCATCTCTCAGATGTCGTCTAACCCTCGTGTCCTTCTTTGCCTAATGGTAGCAACCGCAATAGTAATAAAAATGCTCTTCGGTTCACGATTAATTTCATCTCAACCACAGCCGGGACTTGTCGCGGCCAATAAAACTTGTGGCGTGCGTAAATGGAGAAGCGGAGTGGGGAGGTTGCGTGTGTGTGTGTGCGTGTGTGTGGGTGTGTGATAAGCCATGGACTCTTGATACGGCCTATCTGTCTCTGACAGACTGATTGGAGATTTCAAATATGAACCAGATTTAGTTCATCTGCAAAAGACAGGCGGTGGGGAAGGTTTGCTTTAACCGAACAGTTGAGCTTTGACCGTCTCAGTGGTCCTTTTTTTTTTTTTTTGACAACCTCGCGTCAGTTGGGCCACCTGCTCTGTTTTGTGTGTGTGTGTGTGGGGGTGTGTGTGTGTGTGGTTGTTGTTATTATCAAACCTAAAGATATGTATTCATCGAGATCAAGCGGCTAAAAGCGCATTATTTACAGATTTAAAGTCACTTTATGTGTCGTTTCCAGTCATTTTCTTAAAATGTACTTGACTTTTGTTTTTCTCAGCACTTTTTCTATTCATAAGCAAAAGGAGGCTGCATGAATGCATTTTCACCCACTTGCTTATGGGACAAAAACTCCAGATTTGCGTGATTTAGAATCGCATTTTTGTCAAACTACGGAGTTTTTTCCCCAAAATAACAATTCTTGGGCTTTAAAAATAAATAAATAAATAAACAAAATCATCTGCACTCACATCCGCTTTGCAGCTAAACGTTTTCTCTCCTTTTTTTGCGTAAAATCCGTCTGACGTCACACTCGATGTCCTGTCCGTCGCGAGCGCGTGTGCGCGAGCAGACTGCAGCTCTCAATCAGTTCAAAACTTCGACCCCTTTTCTCTGAAGCCACACAGCAAGGCCCCGAGTGTTTGTTTCGACACAATATAGCCTACTAAAAAAAAAAAAAAAAAAGTTAAAACTGTCAAGCAAAACAAAACGAAAGAAAGAAAAAAAAAACCACAGAAAATCTGGTAAGATCAAAGAGCTGTCGATGTTCGCCCTGCTGGCTGGAGTTTTCGACTTTTCTCAAACAGCAAACAGCGCCTGTGTCCCACTTTCTGTCAACTACAGCACTTATTGCCTATGTCTGAGAAAGCGTCTCTACCACCAAAATAAATATAAATATATCTTTATCATGCAACAGTGTCCTGTAGTTAAATATCTGCGCCCCAGTCCGGGCATAATAACTGGTTGGAGATTTTGGTTGGAAATGGACTGCAGGAGGAGGAAGAGGAGGAGGGGTGGTGGTGGTTCTGGTCCGAGGAAGAAAAGCTCTTTTCAGGAACCACAATGGGAGATTGGGACAGGGGAGGAGTCCCCATCGTGATTAGCCCATTTAATGGCGCGTTTACTTAATTTCTGTATTCACCAGCGACGGTAAACACAAAGGTGGAAATAGCACTCGCATCTTTTGTTGTTGTTTTTCTTTTTTTTACATTGACACTTTTTCATGTATAGTTTTCATCAAACTGAGAGTTTTGACAAACTTTTCTCTCTCTCTTTTTTTTTACAGTGCTCAAATCGCAAAAAAAAGGAAAAAAAAAAAGAAAATCAGCCCACCTGACTGCATAACCTTCCACCAAGCAGCGGGATCATAAGCGAGGATGAGCCGTAATGCTCCAACAATCCAATAATGAGCCAATATGAGCATGTGTTTAGCCACTTATGGCCGCCCTTATCCGTAATCGGATGGAAAGACGGACAGCGTGAACAGGGGCGAAGGCAAATCCGACGTTTCATTTGAATCACACGCTAATAATAAACGACGTAAACAAAAAGAAAAAAACAAACAAAAAAAAAACAAGATGGATCCGGCTTTTTAGCGAGGGGTCAACACATTTACCAGCCGCTCAGACCAAATGTATGGAGATTAGTGAGCCACCAACACATAGAAAACAACAACAACAAAATCGCAACAAAAACGCCTGCAGCACTCGAGGTGTAAGTTTTGACAAATATTTTATGTAGGAACATCGAGTCAAGAAAAGTGAGGAAGGGGGATAGAAAAGAGGATGACACTGGCAGGAGAGGAGGAGGAGGAGGAAGAGCAATAATTATGTACAAGCATATTTCTACACGTATATTACAGAGCGGGAGAATGATCGCGTTATTTGAGATATACATAATTCAATATAAACTTTCTTTTTTTTTTTTGAAAATAAAAAATAAAAATCTGATACAGTCATAAACGGATCCGTTCGACACATTATTATTATCATCATTAATATTTTTTTTTCTTTTTGTTTTCCTCTTTCCGACCAGGTTTATACCCCACACACACACACACGCGCACGCACACACACGCACACGCACGCCTACACACACACACACACACACACACACACACACACACACACACACACACACACACACACATAGGCAGTGACAGAAATGCAGATAAGAAAAAAAGGTGCTTACGACTTAAAAATGATTGTCTGATGAACACAAAGTAAACAAAAATAAAAAATAAAAGAGCAGAAGAAGTAGAAGAAGAAAAATGAAAACAGGATTGCATCTTGTTAGTACGGCTCCTTCCTCGCCGTCATCATCATTTGGATGGAGAAAAAAAAATAAAAACAAAACGAGTAAAATAAAATAATAATAATAATAATAATAACAATAAAAAAGACGATCTGTTTTTATTCCCTCTGGTTCCTGGTGGGGCGGGGGGGAGGTGAGAAAGAAAAATCTTGCACTCAGGTCGATTCCCCTGATCGCAAAATGGAAAAGAAATAAAAAATAAAAAATCATGCAAGTAGTCTAGTGTTGTTGTTGTTGTTGTGAAGTGGGGATGAAGAGGAGGGGTTGGCGTGGGTCCTTTGAAAGCGCTTTAATAATAATAATAATAAAAAAAAGACGTGCTTTTATCTCTTTTTATTTTAATATTTATATCAACCGGTCCTTTTCTCATAAGTCTTTTTTTGTGTGTGTTTCATCATCTCGGGTCCGTTTTTCCCTGTAAATATTTCTCTCTTTTTTTTCTTCTTTTTTTTTTTGTCTTGTTCTTGTTTTGACCCCCACCCCACCACCCCACCCCGCACCCCTCCATCCACACACCCCCTCCTCCTCTTCCCCCTTCCTCCTCCTCCTCCTCCTCCTCCTCCTCGCCGTATCATACGTCGCACTCCGAGTCGCTGGATGTGACGGACAGGATGGACGTCCCAGTGTCGACTCGCTCTGTCATACTGGAAACGCTGGTCGTGGGGCTGGCCGCGGTCGAGGGCGACTCGGCCGAGCTGTGAGGGGTGAGTCCGGCCTCTGAGAGGGATCTCATGCCGGCCGGTCCTATTGCTTGGTGCTGGAGCCTGGAGGAAGAGGTTAGGGAGGGTGGGTGCGGGTGGGGGGGGGGGGGGGGGGATAGAGAGAGAGAAAAGGAGGAGGGGAGGGAGAGAATGAGAGAAATGGCAATTAGACCTGAGAATGTTCACCCCCACCCCCCTCCTTCTCCTCCTCCTCCCCCTTTTGCTCCTCATCCTGGTGCAAAATAGGGGTTCAAAACTCTCCTTTCTTTCCCTGTGCCGGCCCCAGCCATGCATGCGTGCTTTTATCAAGCAGCCAGCTTTCAAGGCACAAACCCCCCCCAAAAAACGCAGCACTATTTAGACAGTTTAGACCAACTAAGGCCAGGAGGATTTGCTACAAAACCAACGCGCAACGCAAGGTGGAACAGTCTGAACAGTACAGCAGCACAAAATGGTAAAATAAAAAATTAAATTATAAATAAAACCTCGGGAGGTAAACTATTTGTTTGTTTGTTTTGTTTTGTTTTTTTCCTCCCCCTTTTACCGCTGCGCTTTCCAGCATCTGTGAAATCCGGGGGAAAAAAAAGAAAAGAAAACATGAATTCATAAAACCAATGTTGGTGGTTAAGTAAAAAAAAAAAAACAAAACAAACAACAACAACAACAACAATAAAACACACAGAGCCTGACGGAGGTTTTGTGCTGCAGCAGGATGAATGAATAGATGACGCGGAGATCCAGGTTGCACCAATCACCCTAAATGTTGATCTCCTGTCCACTCACCATAATAGTAATAATAATCATAATAAAACGACAAAACAACAATAATAACAATAGTAATAGTAATGACTCCATCGCGGGAGGATGATGTCAGCGCGGAAATATATCTATTCATTTATCCAAGAGATTAAGACAGAGTTCATATGGCTTAGTAATACTCTTGGGGGAATTTTCTAATCAATTATAACATTTCAATGAAATGATATCACACGTAATGTTATGAATACAGACTGAGGCTTTTATACGCATGCTCTTTTTATTTTTTTATTTTTTTAGTGGACCAATATCAGTAATGTGTCCATTATCCTTTTAGATAATCTGCATTTCCATCACAGCTTTACGTTAAAATGAGGCGTGGAAGGGAAAGCTAAATATAGACACTGTATTATTATACTATACGTTTTAATTTCTCCTAAATAAATCAGAATGTTTTTTTTTTAAATAGGAAGAAAAATAGAATTATTTTAGATTAAAAAAAAACACAAATGCGTTTTTACATTAATGGATAAAAGCATTTGAAGATTTACCAACACCGCATCAATTCAGTGCTGTTGATAAATTGCGTCACGCTCGCTAAAAACGTGTTTCATTTATCAGCAGTTTATTCATACAGTAGAAGATGTTTGATGTATATTTGCGGGTGTTTGCTTCTGGTCTGAGCATGTAATCAGTCTACGGAGATAATAAACACGTGGTTTTATGTAAAAAAAAAATAAAAAAATAATAATAATAATAATAATAATAATAATAATAATAATAATAATAATAATAATAATAATAATAATAATGATGGATTTGAAAGCGACATTGTTTAAATTTGAAGTGGATTTTTAAAAAATAATACAGTTAATTAAAATTTGCAATATATATTTAATGTCCGAAGGAATCTTTATTATTATTATTATTATTATTATTATTATTATTATTATTATTATTATTATTATTATTATTATTATTATTTATTCGTCTATTTGTATATGATTTTCTTCTTAAATTGCAATTGTCAGTCGTGTATTAATTTCAGACTTTAACGCTGGTCAACACTTCTCTGTGACATTTAGTTCTAAAAGGTTCTAATTTAACGTGAAAGAGAGAGAAGAAGAAAATAAATAGTTCCAGTGTTTGCCCGGGATTAGCCAACATGTCGCCGCAGCTCGCTGCCTTGCCCTGAATCTTTTCCTGGATAGTTTTCTCCGGAGCGCATAAGATTTATTTCCTCATATTAAAGAAAACGCTTCGCCAACATAAGTGCGCGTTTTTAGTGATTTTGATGAAGCAGGAAGTGGGGAGAAAAATAAAAATGATAATAAAAAAATCGCCAACCTGTTTTTGGCCGCCGCTGCTCTGTCTCTTTGCCTCCGGTTTTTAAACCAGTTCCCGACCTGTGTCGGAGTGAGTCCAGTGGCTTGAGCCAGTTCCCTTTTCTTGCTCGGGTTCGGATACGGGTCCTGCAGGTACCACTCCCGCAACAGGCTGCGCGTCCGCTCCTTGAAACAGTGCGTCTTCTGCTCCCCGTCCCAGATGGTCCGAGGCAGCGGAAACTTCTTCCGCACCCG